ATGACCAAGTCAATAGCAATTGGCTACTAGTTAAGGCTAAACTAGTTGTACTACTAGTTAAGGTTAAACTTGCTCCAGGCGGGGAAAAACAGATTATTTGTGCAAAAGATTTTGGTAATGCTCAGAATGAAACTTCTAATTGTGGTCCAGTAATTGTCCCTCTGACAATTAATGGTGCACAGGTAGAAAATGATTTGGAATAATATTATAACCTAAGACAGAATGAATATCAATAAGAAGAGTGAGAAACAATGACTCCTTTAGTTAGGAAATGCATCAATTCTTGGGGAAGAATATTCCTGGACAACCGAATGCATCTATTTGAGATATGAAGCAGAAACATTGATGTGGAGTTCTCAGATTATCAGTTTGTTGTAGAAAAATCATTATGAAGGAAATGCAATCTCAACTATAGTCACGAGCTATGCCTTCATGGTTTTGCCTGATGGTGTCAAATATGCCGTTTAGAGAGCTTTCAATATGGTTTTTGTTATTGTTGTTGCTTCTGTTCATGAGCTTGGCCTTTTCTTATTCATCAACCATTCCTATTATCTACTGCATTATTATCTGAACTTCACGATGACGGAGAAGCTCAGACTCTCTGTGAGGTCCAGAGAAACCCTTCCTTATATTACTATTTGGCATGGTATTATTGGTCACCTGTGATTCTGTCATTTGATTTTAATGCTATTATCACACTTAGAAAATTTTTAAAGACAAGTTCTTTTGGTGAAAGGATTCTTGACATTATGAAGTTTGTGTTATTTTAATTTTTTTCCTTATAGCCTCCTCTACCATATAGCATTCAAGCTGTTCATCAAGTTGGAGATGAGGCTCAAGGCTGTTTTTTTTTTAAAGATGACAAGTGTTAGTCAATGCTGCTATAGAATGTCAGGAACATACATTCCTAGACTTCCTCAACCAAGTGAAAAAAGTTTACACAAATATTATTAAGCCTTTTACCTATAAGACCTATCCTTTGTGGAGAACCAGCATTGAAAGTGTGATCCTTCATTAAATATTCTTATGTTCTTCCTTCAATGGAGGAAGATAATCCATAAACTACAGATATACTGAAATTATGATAAAAAAATTTCTAAAAGTTTCCAAGAGTCAAACAATTTGTACCTAAAATATTTTCCAATAATGTCACCCACAGAATGAAAATAAACAACTACTTGATTAGAAACAGATTTTCAGTGCTACCGATATTAGTCAATTCATTTCAGTCTAACCACTTGCATATCTACTGTGTTCCCAACATTTAGCTAGATTATAGATAGATCACAAAGTATAAAAAGTGAACTCTACATATAAGAATGTAGAAATATATTTTATAATTATTTGTGAAAAAACTTAAGTAGGAGTATCTTTAAATACAGAAAATGCTTAACTGTAAAAGTAAAAACTGAAATTTTATAAGATTTTTGTGGTTTTGAAAATGTCTAGGATATAAAGAATTGAAATTTTCTTCATGTTTGATATTTACTTGATTCTACTATTGCATAATTGAAAACAGAAACCTTTAAAACCATTAGAAGACCATCTAAAGACCACTGTGTCAGTTTCTGAAGTCTTCACTGCACGGCTTAAAACAGATCAATTGTTTTAACTATCGTTACAGATATTTATCAGCAAGGATGTCATTTATCATTTTAATACTTTATATTTAAATAATAGCAGAATATGTCTACAACTTTGATGATGGTTATAATAAAGTAATTAAGCTACTTATATTGAAATAAAATAATTTCTTTTTTATATGAAATATGTATTTTGCTTAAAAGTAAAAGTTTTCCAAAAGAAACAATTAGAATCTGAAAAAAAGATTGTCTTGAACTTTGGCTCAAACAACTTTAAGATTTACTCTTTGAGATATAAAAACACAAAACAAAATACATATGTTTGATTTTCTCAGTTCCATAATTTAGTGAGCATATGGAAATGATTTATGGAAATGAACTGATCTTATAGTGAATGTCCCCAGTTTTTGTTACTTCCACTTTTTGGACAAATAATTGTTATTAATTCTTATAATACTTTATAAGACTATAAAGTATATTAGAGAAAAGCCACACAACTTGGTTTTTTTTTTTAGGTCAGTGATGCATCCATTCTAATCCATGGGATTCATTGTCTCCATCATGGCAGTGTTCACAAGAGTGAAGGTGTGATCCTTCATTAAATATTCTTATGTTCTTTCTTCAATGGAAAAAGAAATACACTCATTGCCTTAATAAGTACAAAGTAAAACATAAGGTCAGCCCTCAAACCTTAGGCTATTAGTAAGTATAAGATTAAATTATATCTTTGCTGATAACTATTTAAGTTAATAAATTTAATTAATTATTATCGTGTGCAATTATAGGGAAATGTATACAATCCCTCTATAGACTTTAGTTATCTTTTTTGATTCCTTTCTTTTATTTTCAATGTTGAAGAAATGTGATCAGTTTGGGAGTATCTTGACTTTCCCCTTGATGTCTTGGTATAATGTCATTTTATTGTTGACTTTTCCTCATTGATATTCTGCCTCCTACACTTATTGTCTTTGATTGATAACAAGTCAATCAACAATGCAGCAATAAAAATCATTATGGTGCCTGCCCACATGTGGCTACATGTGCTGAGAGTGCTGAGAACGAATGAAATAAAATTCACATATAGTAAATTCAGTTCTATAGTACAAATTACTAACTCCTGCCAACCTTCAGAATTAGCTGATAGTTTTTCAGCCTTATAAAGAACATTCATTTAAGAATCTTCATATGTTACATTAGTTAGAACCTAATATATCAATGATTTATTTATTACAAGTAAAGCAAAGAACTTGAGACAATATTTTGCTGAAAAGAGAACCATATAGAGGAAGAATTTTGGAAAATATCACTTTTAAAATCTGTTGGAAACAATTAGCAATATAGTGCTAATCCTAGGGATGGAAAAATGAGAGCAGAGAAAGAATAAAGTACCTAATATTTTTGAGGGCTTTATTATGGACCGGGCAGCATTTTAAGTCTTTTATACTTCATATCCCATTTAAACTAGGTACAAATATTATCCACATTTTACAGAGGGAGGAACTGAGATATAGAAAGGTGAAGAACATTCTCAAGTTCACACAGTTAGTTAATGGTAGCATCAGGAACTGAACCCAGGCGTCTTCTCCAGGAGCATGTTGTACTCAACCTTGCCGCTCCACCATGGTCAAAACGTCTTCACAGAAAATAAAAAAAGAGTTATTTTACATAGTCACTGAAAGCAAAAGGAGGGGAGAAAATGAAAACAAAGAAATAGAACTTTTAAAACCAAAGAAGATAATTTGCGAGAATGATGTAGCAGAAAAGTTTTCTGTGGGAGACAGTTAAACCTGTATTTTTGAGCTTTTAAAAATAAGATAGCTTCTCCTGCAATCTTTGTTTAAGTATTACTGTATTTCTTAATCCCCTTCCCCCAGTTCTATGATCCAATATAAAAATTGTGATTTTTCTTAAATAAGAGAAGAAATACGTACCTGCCACATGTTTCATTCCAGAATCCTCAAAGCTGGTTTTTATACTGAATTTGTACATGCTTCTTCTATAGCATAATTTTCTTCACTAAAGCCACATACTATATCTTCTGCCATATTATTATTTATGAATGTAAAAAATGGAATATTTTAATAAATTTTAAATAATAATTATAAGAATATTAATTCATTAATAAGAAGTATTTTAGTGTAACCATTAAAGGCATTTTAAAAGTATATTTTCACAATGTTAATTTCAAGTTAGCACAAGTATTATCATATAGAAAATCAAAATAATGGGTTATAATCATATGCTAAAATTACATAACTTTTTAACACCTTTTTTGTTAGATTTTTATCAGTTTTTACTCTTGGGAAACAAACCTGCAAAGAACAAAATTACTTTAGTTAAATTAAGTTATCATTTTCAATTTACTTAAAATTATTTGATAAGTTTTGTGAACCATTTATTCAGAAATATTCATTTTTTTCAAAATTATATTGTCACATCTTTTTGTCATATTGTTGATGATTATACATACTGATAATCTTCTTCTGTTTTTTCACTTGCAAAATGTCTTGGGAAACAGTTCATATTAATGCCTTAGCAGAATATTATAATGAAAGTTTAAAATTAGATTCATATTGCATAGCATTTTAAATTAATGTATTCTATAAAAACGACAAAGATGCATGTTATAGCTTTTTTTCCTCTTTAACATCTCTTGGCTCTGAGCCTTTAAAAATAACTCTTAAAATTGTAATATTCATCCTACAACTTTACTGATCTTCACTGGAAGTTTATTCATTCAGGCTAAAATGTCTGTGGATGAAAATCATTATCTAAAGTGACTATAAATATTGGGACTTTACATATACTAAGATGGATTACAATATTTCTCATGATGAGAAAGGAAAAAAGAGGTTTTTTTTTAAGTTTTCTTATTTTGCCTGTAGGGGGTAAACAAATTCTTGTAATAAAATTTGTTCCCTTTAGAGCTAAAATAGATACTATTAGAAAAGTATAACACAGTCCTGTCATTTTACTTATGAGCAAAATAAGTCCTAAGCAGCTAAGCAGCTTGACCAGACCACCAAGGTGGCAAAAACAAGCACCCTGGCCTGTAGCCCAGGTCTCTTCCACACCACCAAACCTCATGACTCTCCTCAAAAGGGAAGAGACATATAATTTTAATGAAGTAAGAAGTGCCATCAATGTACTCTAATTTTTTTTTTTTTTTTTAAAGAAATCGGAGTCACACATCAGTTCTGATCATTCCTCCCCAACCAGAAAAGTGTGGCCTTCTGAATCATCACCAGGTCTGTGCCTCCACTGCTTGGGGCTTCTCTATGGAACCAGAAGTCACAATACTGATTATGTTCTTATCAGTCTATAGCCAGGCCTCAGTCACTAAACCCGTCAGACTTGTTTCTTTTCTTGTTGCTAATGACTGTCATTATTTTCTAGCCTCCCAGCCTTGACCTGGCTGATATAGATCAGATGGTGACTGAATAGAAGCTGTCCCAGTGCTGGGTCCATGATGTATGCGTAAGTACTCAGCTTTTCTCATTCAAGGTTATCAATGGGGACACAGGTTTACAACTCCTGGGTAAGGAAGGATAGATGTTGGCTGGTGGAGAGTGCTTTAAAAACAAGTTTTTCATGTGTGTTACTGTATTTTGTCTTAAAGTTTTATTTTGTTGTTGTTTTTAAATGTAAAAATATTTTTAAACAAAAGGAGCCAATGTAGTCCTTTCTGTCTAAATATTAGAAGTAGAAATGATAGGCAGTAATAAATTGACAATATTATATTTAAACATTTAGAAAAACTTGTGCTTCAAAAATAAACTTTTTAATATTGTTCACTTAATTCTTTAATATGATCAATAGCTTAGTATAAATTTTTGTCCATTGCTTATTGAAGTATATTCTGGGAAAACTTAAAATATACATGTAAAAGAAGAATTTATTAGAATTTTTTATTTCTTAAACTCTAATAGAAAGTATGGTAGCAATAAGATTATTGTATATACCATATGAATGAAATGATGAAAATTAAAATATTTATATCTAAAAATTATTGAATTGACAAAATCTAAACTACGTGGCATTTGTCATAATTGAACTCTAATTTGTCAATTAATGAATTTAAAGTAAAGAAATTTAAATACATTTATGTTTAGGTAATTTCAGGATACTGTTTAACAGACATAAAGAGGAATAACTGATATCTGATCAGAGTGACTTCATTAAAACTGCTTAGTCTAATTTGCTTCTCAAAAAGTTTCTTGATCTTTCTAGACACCAATTTCCTACATGTTCTGCATGAATTAATGTTTCAAACTTATTCATGATTTTGTGATAATTATAATTGTATAGTCATTTGATTTTACCTTCAATTTAAATATAATGCTTTAGGCCTGTAAGCTCTGACATTAAATGATGAGTGTTCTTGCTCTCTGTACTTTATTCTCAAATAAGAGCATGAGCCAGAAGAAGACCTCATTTCATGAATAAAGCTTCCCCCAAAGATCCTTTTGTGATGGCATGATATAGCATATTTTCTGAACTTCTTACTAAATTCAAGAAAGTATGCTTTTTATCTACCAAGATAAGGATAGAGTAAGACAAAATATGCAGTGGAAAAACTTGCTTCTATATTTAACAAACATTTATACAAATATGATATGTTAACCATTTTAGTTTTAAAAAATTAGTGAAGAGCTTTCCTAACAGTCTAGTTCTCCTCTTCCCAATTTATGGCATCATCTCCACTCACTCATTTTTCCACTCTGAAAATATCATTAAAAACATGGAATTTCTATAGTGAAGCCTCATCAGCTTTAATTCAGAGTTTATAGTTTTGAAGACTTTAAGTATCCTTTCTAATTGGATTCTAGATCAGTATTTTTTTATTAAATGTATTGGGGTGACGTTGGTTAATAAAATTATATGTTTTAAGTGTATAATTCTATAACATTTTAACATGGATATTGTCAAAAACTTTGGACTGTGCCATAGAGATAAGATAAGAAGGTTACTAGTTGAATTCATTAGTAAAGGTATTTTGCCCAAGGGATATAGTCTCAAAGAGTGGATGAGTTAGATAAGCAAAGCTTCCTTGCAGAAGTTCTTTCTCATTGAGGTATAGTGGAGAGTACTAGCATGAGATTTAGATGTATTTAGATCCAGCTTTACACTCATTTAAACAAGTCCTTAACCTCTCAAAACTACTTCTTTTATCTGTAATATGTGGGGAGAGTTTACACTAAAATAAATGGGGGAATTTGTTACCATTAATAGAACTTGAAATCATTATTGTGGACAAGCATAAAGCTATTTTTGGTTTATTGGTTTATTATTTAGTTTATTCTGGTATTATTTATTTTTTATCCATTGTGTTAAATGATAATGAAATAATATCTAATATTAATTTTGTTATACTTTTAGTATATCATTAATAGTAAGTATAAGTATTATATTGTGGAACTGTTATTTCAGATATGTGATTATGTGTGTGCCCCATGCTGCGATGTAGAACATTTCTAATGGTGGGTCATGGTCAAAAATATTTTTAAAAGCATTGCATTAGATAGCTTTAAAATCCTTTGGAGTACTTAAATTTATGATTTGTAGAGTAAACAGCTAATTAATGTGGAGAACATTAACTTTCCTATGGCACTAGAGAATCATTTAAATTCCTAGAGTATAGTTTTTTGTTTGTTTGTTTGTTTTTTTACTAGTTTCTGTATATGGAGCCCACCACAAGTGAGACAGAGATAAGAGATATGGTTAACAGCAACTACAGACCTCAGATGCAAGAAGCAAATCAATAAACCACATTTTGATGTCACACTCTGATAAAAAAAGAAACAAGGTGCTGTAGGGGTGTCCACTCAACTTCATAAAAACCCTTTTGAATATGCAATGATTGAATTTAGTCTTAAAAAGGAATTAGTTCAAGGAGAAAGAAGGAGGTACTCTGGAATGCAAGAACATAGCCCTTGCAAAAGTCAATTGGGATCAGTCAGACTGGGAAGAGGCTTTTGTACCAGATTAATGTTTCTGAACTACATTATGAGAGTTGAATAAAAATTAAACAAGAAGAAGAAATAATGAAATTTGCAATTAGAACCATGAGGGTGGATGAGAGCAGTTTGATGGTTCAGTTACCTTCTGGGTACAGGTGCAGACCTACGTGGAGTGGCAGGGAGACCACCTATGCACATGTTTCTTTTGCCTACAATGAATGTTCCTTCTTACATTTGGTGAGACACTATAGTCTTCCTTCAAGATTCTAATCAACATTACTGTGCAATTTTTCTCCTACCTTCACATCTTGCATCTTAATTATTTCTGAAGCACGGCCATCCTATTCTAACTTGCATTACGCATTGTATATACTTCTGTCGGCACTTCACTGTATGGTTAATTATTTGTTTTCAATCATGTCTGCTCAGTTAAGCAGAGAGCTCTCTCTTATTCCCATTGTCAAACATTGCCCGGCCCACTGTAGACTCTCAATATTTATGTGTTGACTTATGATAAAATATATCTAAAGCCAAAGACCAGGTGCTGAGAAAAAGGGAATCTTAGGAGTAAATAAGAATTTCAGGTTTACTTTTCATTATATATCTTTTCAAGAGGGTCTATGAAATATTTGAGATACGGTAATTCAGAAGGCAAACAAAAGCTGAAATGATTTTTGTGGATAAGCATGAAGATATTTTTGGCTTATTGGTTTATCGTTTGGTTTATTTTGATATTATTTATTTTATCTGGAGAGTGGAGAGAATTCATTCCAAGTAAACTTATATTGTGGCACTGAGGGGGTTTACTATAGAAGAGATGAAAGTATTAGATAAATGCTTATAATCTAGACTTTAAAATTTCATTTATTCACTAATTCAACAAATGCTTATCATTCTAGCTTATAGTGTACTAGAAGCACACTATCCACACATATGTACATATCGACATACAATGTATACACATGATATATGTTGTACATATCTGTTTTATGTGTATACATACCCATATCACATGCACATGAACAAATACATATACAGACACATATATGAATAAAACAAAAATATTCTCTACTTGTATGGTATTTACAGGAGAAGACATAATAAACAACAAAACTAACAAATTGATGTGAATTATAAATATGATAACTATGAAGTAAAAGTTTCTTACTTTTTTCCAAAAATTTTTTCTAATTCACTTCATTTATTTTATAATTCCTGATTTGATGATAATGCTGGTAAAACTAACTGCAGACTAACTTTAAAATAAATTTTTAGTTTATATGATTATACTCTATAGTCTACTTTTGCTTATCTGTAAGATAAATGAAAGCTAAATTTGTAAAATACACTTTTAAAACACTACATACTGAAAAAGTTTCCTACTGTGCTTAAGAAGCCTTGTGAAGATCTAAATAGGACCCCTTAACACTATTTAACAAATGTAAGAAGACAGCATGGAAACAAGTATTTGCCCATGAAATAAGGCCATGTTGCTATACGCAGTTACTTGCAGTAGTCTTTAGAAAGGATATTGTGTCTTGGAGTACTGCGGGGTTAAGTGTGTTAGGTAGTGGATAGATATTTAGGGACAAATAGCAAGAAAGTTTTCATACTTTTGAATCATATAATCACTATATGGCTTCATAATTTATAAGGAAGCTTTCGAACGCTTAGCATTTCAGGAACATTCTTATTGAAACTTCAGATTTGAAAACCAATTAAAAGACAAATCAGCGATGTTCACATTTGCTTTTTGAGATTCTGTACATTTTCTTCCAGTAGTATATATGAGCAAACTCTGATCCTTAATTGATGCCCTATAGTTGCCAGTATTTAAAATACATTAACCTGTCTTTAAATTATTTTGTAAAGGTTTTAAGATTTTATAATTAATTGGTTAATATTGCTCAAAATTTGAAAACAGGCTGCTTTGAGGCATTCAACAATTTATGTAACATTATCATTGGATGAAGAGTGCAGCCCACTTCTTAGGTATTTCATATAAAATGAAAATGAATTAATTTAAAGTATAACTATAGAAAATACAGTAGCATGATCTACTAGTGGGAAACATAGGAAATTGCCTATTTTGTAGGTTAAAAATGACTGAATACCAGAAATTTCATGGTTCAAACTTATCCGGTTTTTTCCAGATCTTGTTTTATTTATCCTAAAATATAACATATAAAATGACTATTGCAACTTTAAAATTATATGGTTTAAAAAACTACCAAAGAAACATTTGAAAAATTTTTTGTACTGTCTAAAAAAAATTATTGGTTTGGATACTAGAATGTTAAACAATCTCAAACACACGTTGCAACAGGTGAAATAAGACAGAGCAAGTTGGCAAGAATTAACTCTCGAAAATAGAAAAAAAAAATCCAATGCAAAACAGTGTAGGGTGTGTTCTAGCTACTATTGCTAAGCAAAAAGTGGGGGAGGAATCCAATTAATCATTTGACCTATAAGATATCAATTGCCTTAACTGTTGTATCTATTCCTCTTAGACCATTG